GCTTGCTGGGGGGGCAATGTGTAGCCTGTATAATTAAATTGTAAACCGCCCGGAGAGTGCTTGTAGCGCTATGGGGCGGTATATAAGATAAACAAATAAATAAATAAATAAATATTCAGTGACTCAGTTATGGTTATTAAAAACAAGCCTGAAGAGTCAGTTCAACTCTTGATGGAAGGGTTAAAAGGAGACTCCCAACCTGGGAGCAGCCATCAGGAAGGTCTTCTCTTGTGTCCTCATCAAACATGCCTGCAATGACCATGGGATCGAGAGGTGGGCCTCCTCTGATGATCTAAAGGACTGGGAAGGCTTGTACGGGAAGACATGGTGCTTCAAACAGCCTGGACCCAAACCGTATAGGGTTTTGTAGGCAATAACTGGTACTTTGAGTTGGGCCCAGAAATGGACTGTAACAGGGCCATTATATGCTCCCTGTAAGTGGCCCAGTCAGTAGTCTGGCAGCTGCAGTTTGAACCATCTGATGTTTTTGAACCGTCTTCAAAGGCAGCCCCAACTTTGTTAGAGATAAAGTCGTGCCCCACTTAACGATTACCCCGCATTACGATGAATCCACTTCATGACAATGTTTTTGCGATCACAATTGTGATCACAAAACAATGTTTTAAATGGTTTTTTTTTGCTTTGTGAAGATCGGTTCCCTGCTTCGGGAACCAATTCTTCGCTTTACGACGATCAAAACAGCTGATCGTTGGGTTTTCAAAATGGCCACCGGGTGCTCAAAATGGCTCCCCGCTGTGCTTAGGGACAGATTCCTCGCTATACAGGGACAAAAAATGGCTGCCGTATGGAGGATCTTTGCTGGATGGTGAGTTTTTAGCCCATTGGAACACATTAACCGGGGTTTAATGCATTTCAATGGGTTTTTTATTTTCGCTTTACGACGTTTTTGCTCTACAGCAATTTTCCTGGAACAAATGAACAGTGTTAAGCGAGGCACCACTGTATCTTGAACTGTCTTCAAAGGCAGCTCCACCTTTGTTATATATATCCAAGGGGGATGTAACTAAGGCCTCCTTATCTGA